GGGAAAAGGACAATAATTATCAGAGAACTATCAGGGTGCTCTGACAATGAAAAAATCTTGCAATGGACTTCAGAGTTGAAATAATATTTCAGTATTTTAAAAGTTTTGAATTCTAAAAGTACTCTGAGGATGCTGACCTGCCATGAACTTGGCCACAGCCTCTGGCTTTCCTAGAAGAGGTCAATTTGTTGATGTGCTATTCATACTTCATGTTATCCTGAGATTAAACCGTTGCCTTGCTCTTAAATATTTACAGATCTGCCTTTTTGACAGATTCAGAGCAAGGACCAGGTCTTTGTTATCTGGATATCAGATCAGCTCGTGCAATGGGCCCCAATGAATGATTGGAATGACTGATTGCATGGGAACATGGTTTGGATATATAATAGGATCTAATACAAATTTTTAATTTTCCAAAATAAAATGTGTATTTTTTTGTCATGTTTGCTGGATCATACTTTTTTTTTCCCTTTGAAAAGAAGAAGAAGAAGAAAAAAAGAGGAATATCTGAATATTTGTTTTCAGTTAAAAAAAGAAAAAAAAAATCTCATGACATGTAACCTAAAGCCGTATAAGCATGATAAATCTTTAAAATGATAGTCACATCAGTAAAATAAACTTAGGAATTGAGGTGATGTTTCTGGAATACATTAAGGTAAAAACTCACCTTTCTGTGGAGTTGTTGGGTAGACCTAATTCTTGGTGATTGACTTTTTTCAATTTTTCTTTGCACCTGTGGACAGTTTCAGATCTATTTTGGGGAGGGGGTGAATGTAGAGCCAAGGTAATTGGAAAAAGTTGACTTTAATAGTGAAATGTTGCTTTTAAAATGCTATATACGTTTTACATCTGAATCCTTGATTTTAGAGTAAGAAACCCTAGAGAAAGAAAAGGGAAAAATTTGATCCCATTTTTTTTCCCTTAAAAGTAGCTATATGGAAATTAGAGTCCTCTGATTCTAATGTCAAAGAGAGTGAAATAAATACAAAGTTCTGGGTACATAGGACCCAAAGAACGATGCTGAAAAGAATTCTGTCAAGTCTGCAGAGGCTGACCAGCTAAGAAAACAGCACGTAACTGTCCTGCATAGGAAGCCTTCATGCAATGCATTTCAGAATATAGACGAACCACTTTCTCCCTGAAGCTTGGCCCTATAGCCTAGAACCTTTCATCAAAACCACCTGTTCAAGTTTATTTTAACTTAACACACATCTGCTTATATGGAGTTTCCAATGAAGAGACCATTTGGAGATGCCAAAGCTGATGGATGTACTTACTGGTCATTACTCACTAAACTGTAAGTAAAGAGCACATCACAACCAGGAGAGAGACAATTGAGGAAAGTCTTTAGATTCTGTTTACCAAACTCAAGAAATCTGATTTTACGTCGCATGTGCGTATCTGTGTGCAAAGAGGGCCTGGCTTCCTTCTTAATGAGATTAGTGTGTCCATACAAGCCTTATGGTGGTGACCATGTCCTAGGCCTCCAAACAGCTTTGGTGTTAAGATACCCCTCACTTACTCCACTGGGCCGGCTAGAGAAGCTGATCTTCATTTGCTTGCAGGCTCATACCAAGTTGTTCATTCTCAATTCTGTATTTTGTTCATCTGTATCAGCTGCCTGATGTCCACAAAAGTCTACTGCATCTCAACCTATTCAAATCAATTTCTAGCTTGAAGAATCCTTTCCATTTTGGAAGCAAACAAGACACATCTACAGAACCTGGTCTGCCAAGCAAACTCAATCTCTCAACTTTGCTTTGGCTGTTACTGGCCTCTTTGCTGTCTCTTCAACAGGCCAGTCACACTGTTGCCACAGGGCTGCTGCAGGGACCATAGCTTCTCTTCCACAAGGAATCCACATTGCTGACTTCCTTACCACCTCCAGGTCTCCAGTCGAATACCAAGTTCTCCAGTGAAGCCTTCTTTGATAATCCCATGTATGAATGAAGCCCTGTGGCAGGCAGCTTTGATGGTGGCTCCCAACATTCGCATCTCCTGGTATTCATACCCTTACTTAAATCCCTCTCCTTGAGGGGTAACAGTGCAAAGTGACTCACTTGTGATTAATAAGGTTCAACTGAAGGGATTTCACTTGTAATATCATGGTAAAGAAAAGGGCTCAGACTCCTGGCTTTCCTTCTCACTTGCTTGCTACAAAGGGAACCAGCTGCCATGTTGGGCCATGTGTTCCACTGTCAGACCCATGTGGCAAGCAACTGAAGAGACAGCTCCAGCTAACATTGGTGGCCTGCAACTGACCACGAAGGGGCCAAAGCCAGCCAAATACCAGGTGAGGGACCCTGGACAAAGGTCCTCCCAGCTGGCACTGGAGATATCTTCAGCCCCTGTGGACACTTGGACTAAACCAAGGATCCCTTCCACTAAAATAGAAGATTCATGAAGGCAGGATTTTCTGTCTTGCTCTTGTCATTGATATATTCTTAATATTTGATCAATGACTAGCACAGAGAAGGCAATAAACAAATATTTGTTGAATGCATGATATATAATATTAACTTATGGCAGATAATCTGTTTTTCTTCCTTTACTAGCAATAAATTCTTCACAAAAATGATATCATTGGAATCAATCTCCCACCCAATCCTGAGACTTTCAGATCTTTTTGCAAATAATAAATACTTGCAAAAAGGATTAATCCATAAATAAATCAGTGGAAAATATGTGTTTCTAAGTGCAGAAACCAACCAAATCAAGAAAATGACCAGATAGCTCATTTTCTCAATTCCAGTATTGAAGACTATGGTGGGAAAGAAAAATCAGAATTCTAGAGTTTCTTTTTGCACAAGAAAAATTTAGGTATTGCCTTCTTTAAAAAGTAATAATAATAATAACCTATTTTTTAAAAAAAACATAGTAACTCATAGGAAAAACAAAAAGGCAGAGCGTCTCTGTGGCCTGTGTTCCCAGTATATCCATGCACCGTGATCCTGGAGACCCTTGTGGAGTGTTTCCTCTGTGCCCTTTGTATCAGCCTGATACCTCTCCAGGTCAGTTGCTGGCAGAGGTAGGGTATCAGGTGGTGGTGGAGGTGAGCACATGCATTTTGAAATGCAGCCAAGACTCAACCAGAAAGAAGAAAATCTAACCTTCATTTGTAAAATAAATATGCTAGACCTTAAGGAGGATTCACTCAGGGTAGTTCTTAAGCCTCCAGAACTTGGTGAGCACTTAAAGGCTCAGACCTCTCCTTACATAGAAATATTTATAGTCCCTGCGGAGCCTCCAAACGACAAAATGTTCCACCCACTATTTCTAAAATTAGGTTTGAGGTTACTTTCCCTAGGACTAGGAAGTCACATAGAATATTGAGTATAAACTTCTTATAGGACAAAAACTGAACGGCGTGTTCAAGTGATGGGTCTTACCAGCCTGACAAAGAGAACCCATGGATTGTCAGGGTGCCCAATGCTTACCTTACGTGCCTTTTATCTATGTATCCTTTCTGATAATTCTGCCAATTGCTAATTTTTCCGTTAACTTATATCCATAACTAGACTTGTGCTCATCATTAACCTCTACATAGTAAGAGAAATATATTTTTTCAAAATCTTCTTCTCCCCCAAGTCAAAAATACTTATTTAGAAAAAATGAATGAAAAAAGGCATATCAAGAAGGTTTCCATTTCTGTCTTTTCCTCCTGCTTCAAGTGTGGCTGTCGTCTTGTTTTGTATGAGATCCACGACTTGGATTGATCACAATCATTGAATTTTAAAATTAAGCGTAAACAAGATTGTATCTATCACTCAAGCTCTCTCTCCCCCCCTCCCCCCACCCCATGGCTCCCTCCTGAATTGAACTGAACTCTGGACCCAGTTCATTTTTAAACTTCTTTTGGGCATAATTTCAGCTATTCCTGAAGTGTAATCTATAAAACAGCTGTGACTTTTTTAGAGACTTCATGGTATTTTGTGGGTTGAAATCAGGCAGAGAGAGAGGTTGGTCTTCCTCTTCCACATTACGCTCTCAGATACAGGTACTTCTCTCCTTCTCTTGTTAACACGCTGCCTCTCATGGAGTTGAGAGGACGTGCCCAGCACAAGGGCTGCCCCCACTTTCCTCCAGCCCTTCCAGTCCACACGAACGCGTGGGACCTTGCTGCCCCCGACCAAAGCTCACTGGGTTTCTAGAAAAGGTGTTCACCATTGAAATCCACCCACAACGGGGAAAACATTAAACTATACACGGTGCCAGAGAGCAAAGGCTTATAAGTCCATACTTTCCTGAATAAATCCTGAAGGACAAAAAGTTCTAGAATTTTAATCAGGAAAAAGAAGAGAAAGACAACTAAAGAAAGAAAAGAAGGAAGGAAGAACAAGAGAGAGAGAGAGAGAGAAAGCTGAAGGGGAATTAAGATGAACCCTTTAGAAGAAAATTTCTTACTTGCAATTCACATCAGAATAAGCTAGAGAAATTCATGTTTTATCTCCTTTTGTGCTATTACATGTTTCTCTAAGAAACAGTTCGTCTACTTTTCTTGAAGCTTTTATGGGAGTGAATAAAAATGTCTGTTTTTCCAAGGTTTTCATATATATATATATATATATATATATATATATATATATATATATATATAGAGAGAGAGAGAGAGAGAGAGAGAGAGAGAGAGAGAGAGAGAGAGAGAGACTCCAATAATCTGGTTTTGACAGAAATCCTAGAATGTTCTATACGGTATAAATATGATGAAGCCACTTTAGATACACCATGGCACATAAGGTCTATTTAACAGACCCTGTAAACACCAATGTGAGACAGCTTTTGCCCAAAGCTTCAAAATAAGCTAAAGAATATGACACCCACTTTGAACTCAACTTAAAGCATTTGGATAGGAAGTTAAGTTAGTTTGATTGCATTGAATCCAATATTGATATCTGCATAGGGGGACATAGCACACTGCTGCTCGCCAAAGAAGGCGGTGAGCAGGAGCAAACCCTGGGCTGCATGACTATATGTAATAGCAAAAATAGAGTCATGCTTACCTTAGGTTCACGCTCCCTGTGAGAAGTCTGTGAGCTGTGTGCTCTCAGCTGAGCTATGGCAGGAATACTCTTTTAGTTAATAATAACGGGGAAAAGCCCCAGACACCAAGAGTCTGGGTTAACCATTGACACTGGTTTGTTCCTACCCTGGGAATCTGCACAGGTAGCCTCTGGCATCTTATAAAGCAGGCGACAGCCAGTCAGCTGAGACAGCAATTACCTCACTGCCTCTGGAGCAGGTACAGTGTGAAGGTCACTCAAGTCTTCCACCAAGGGAAAACTCAGTCAGGGATTCAAAGGAGGAAGATTTCCTGGGCCAGAAACACGTTCAACAATGCCAGTAAGTGACTCAAATATTTACAAACAGGGTTGTGGGGAACTCACCTAGAGGAACACTCATGCTAGATTTCAGATTTGGTCCGAGGAGTGCAAAGAAACCCTTCCCACCAGATCTCTTTGTCTACATCTCAGCAGGTGAGGTTGGCATTGCACACGTCAGTGAAAACTGAGACGGAGGACTAGACAGGGGTAAGCCTCCATGCAATCCTCTGCTCGGCTTGCCTGTAAAGATTCTTTAGCCTGGGTAGCACAGTTGATAAAGCCAAAGACAGAGACTGGAGCTGGAGAGTTCTCTTTCCCCAACCCCAGCAATCAGAGCTTGAGACTGAGGGTGATTACGAAACCAGCTGTAGCCAGGGTCCTAGTGAGTTAAAAGGTTGAGGAGGTCGGGTGGTCAATGGCTCACCAGAGGGCAGAACGTTGAGTGGTAAGAGACGAGGTAGTTTTTAAAATGCTGGAGTCAAGAGAAAATTCCAGAAAAGGTGACAGGTAGTCAGGAGGAACTAAGGCAACAACGGTCCCAAGCTCTTCAGAATCTGGGGCTGTCATGTCAAGGAAAATCCAAGTATTAGTTTCTTGCTCACCAGGTGTTAGTATTTCCTTTGGCTCCAAAGAACACTGGAGGGCAGAGGACTTCGAAGACCACTTAGGGCCTGGTTAATCAACTTTCAGGGACCTTTCCTAGGTTCTCTCCTCTAGTTACTGTTTGGGGGATGTTTGCTTTTGATTTCCATTTTTAGAAGCATGAATATTTGAGAAAGTAAGATTAGATTTCAGTGTTGGTGTTACTCACTGTGTGACATTGGGAAAGCGCTTGACCTTTCTATCTGCAGTTTCCTCATCTGTGAAATGGAGATGGTGAGAAAGATAATAGGAACAAGGGCAGCACCTACCTCAGGTAGAAGATCATCAGCGTTCCAGACTGTTAACCATCCCCAGGGTTTGGACGTTCTGATGGGAACATGTGTTTTGCAGCCTGTTACCCAATACCTGTGGAAGAATCTGAACATTCCAAGGGACTTAGCTTTTCAGTCACCCATGAATGTCAGGGAAGCAGTGGACCCGGAGGTTGCAGTCTCTGCAAAGAAATCTGAAGACTAGGTAAAGTTCTACACTTCCAGGCTAACTGAGGCAACTTTCACTACGAGGCCTTCGCAACAAGACTGGCTTGGTGGTTTAGTGAGTGTCCTTATTGTACCACTTGTTTGAAAACTGAGGCTCCATTTATTGGTGTTCCATCCATGGGACTGTCAAAAAAAAAAAAAAAAAAAAAGCTCAAGAGTACACTGTGTCCCCTCTGCTCTGGAGGGTCCGATTCAGGAAATGTGACTTACGTAAGTGGACAATGGAGAACCCGAACAGCACAGAGCAGAGCAGGACAGGAGGCAAAGATGGGGAAAACTGGGGTCAGGTTCCAACCCCCACTTGGTCAGAGTATCCTGGTGAGGCTTCGTTCCTTTGTTTGAGGTAAATTCTAGAAATATCAAGCACACCCATGCTGACAGTCGAAAAAGCACTTTCCAAAGCCAAATAAAAATGATATTTGGATTTATTCATTCCTTCCTTCCTTCCTTCTTTCTTTTCTTTCTTCCTTCCTTCCTTCCTTCCTTCCTTCCTTCCTTCCTTCCTTCCTTCCTTCCTTCCTTTTTGGTGGAGCTGGGAATTGTGTATGCAAGGCAAACACTCAACCAACTGAGCCATACCCCGAGCCCAGACATCTGGATTTCTGGAGTGGCTTTTCTGAGGCATGTCTCTGTGCTCTCAATCCATCTCCACTGAAAATGAACTTGCTTTGAAGCTCTGTTTTTGGGGACTGCAGTCTACCCCCTAATAGAGAGGAACTGAACTAATGCAAGGGCACATGTGTTCAATGAAGAAAGAATCCGTTACTGAATGTAAGGACCTAGGGTGACAGATAATTCTCCTCTGGAATGACCTGCCCTTGTCTGCTGTTGGATGACATCAGACATGGCCCGAGAGGAGGTTACACTATACACAGGGGTGGCTTATGGCATAGAATTGAGGCATCTGTCCTTTATTCGTGACAGTAGCAGGCTCTTTCCTGCTTCCAGTTTTTGTAAAGACTGAGTTAAGCATAGCTTTTACATTTTTTAATAGTAATGAAAACAAAAGAAGAATATTTTTGTGACATGTAGAAATTATACAAAATTCAAATCTTAGGGTCCATAAAAAGTTTACTGGAACACGGGCTCATTCATTTTTATTTTGTCAATGACAGCTTCATGCTACCATAGCAGAATTCAGGGGACTTTAAGTCTCAACAGAGGCTGTGCCATTTAAAGCCTAAAATATTTAACACCCTGGCCTTTAGAGAAAAAATGTTCACCCAACTTCAATCACACTGAACTGTATAATTTGCTGTTCCCCAAAGGCAGTGCTCTACTATTTTGATTAATTCATTTCCTCAAATGTTTAAGTTCAAGTAAATTTCTATGATTTAAAATCCTATTTTTCCAGGCACAGTGGAACACACCTACAATCCCAGTGGCTTGGGAGCCTGAGGCAGGAGGATTGCGAGTTCAAATTTAGCAAGACCCTAAGCAACTTAGTGTGACCCTGTCTCAAAATAAAAAATTAAATAGAAGGGCTGCAAGTGTGGCTCAGTGGTTAGGTGCCCCTGGGTTCAATCCCTCAAAACAAAAAGAAATCTTACTATCAGGGTTTGGATCTTAAATGGCCACCAACAGCCCCTAAGCCAAGCTTCATTGACAGATGATGGTGCTATTAGGAGCCTTCCAGAGGTGGGGCCTCTTTGGAAGGGAGTTAGGTGATTGGGGGCATGTCCTTGAAGGAGATATTGGGACTCCAGTCCCTGTTTCCCATGCTGGCCACGAAGTGAGCAGCTTTGTTCCACGAGGGCTCCCTACCATGAGGTTCTGCCTCACCACAGGCCACAAAACAACGGAGCCAACTGACCACGGATGGACACCGTGAGCCAAATTAATCTTTTCTTCTCTTTACATTGATTTTTCTTGAGTATTTTGTCTTTGCAATGGAAAAAAAAATGACTAACACACCTATCTTCCCTTCAAGACTTCTTTCGTTAACTTCTTCTTTGTCTACTGTAAACATCAATTTATAGTTTAACAACAAAGAATAAAACTTTTTCAGGTACCATTCCTTTTGATCTATCTTTCATGGTACTTTGTTGAACTTCCTAGTTCCTTCACCAAATTTTAAACAGTATCAGCTAAGAACTAGCTGAATCTTGACTTTGAATACAATAAAATGTCAAAGAGAAAGCTAGGGCAGAATAGGTACTGAGGATGGAATTGTGCGTCTCTTTATTTTGCTTTTCTGAATTTAGCAAGCCTGCCCTGTTTAGGGAATGGAACATTTACTTACTTATTTACCCCCCTTGACTGTTGTCTTCAATTCAGTGTCTCATAAGCTTCCTTACCACCCCTGTCCACCGCTTCCACCTTTCCGGAAGTTCATGGCCCTCTTGCTGTATACCCAGTGTCTCAATTACTAGATTCTGCCCAGATTGTTTGCTCCTTTCAGTGTTGAACTCTGGAATTCTCCTTCACAGTGTCTCACCTCCACTGGAAGGGCTTGGTGTGTTTTCCTATGTTCCCAGATCTCTAGAAAATAGACGGTAAGAAGCAGAGGGAAGAGGGAAAAGAGCCACCTTGAATTTCTTCTGCAAAGAACAGTCGAGTCCAGTGCTTCCTTGAGATGATGTCCACGCTTCAACAATGATTTAAACAAAGACCATGAAATTTTCTGTATCATTTGAGATAATCTGATACATTGAATCATGCAAGTAGATTAAAAGACACATGGTCTTTGGGGGGTGGGAATGAGAGGCAGACCTTTAAAAATCTCTCCCAGATGTTAAAGGTGTACATGTCTATAATGGATGATAACAACAAGTATATAGAAAAAGGCAATGAATATTGGTCTCAATCCTCAATTTCCCTTGGCAAACTCTTACTCCAATTTTTTTTTTAAACATGTACTGGGATTTAATTAGATGTAACATTTTGAATCTTGTCTTAATGCAAAGGAACCCATTTCTAGCTGTGGGATTCTCAACACCAAGGAGAAGAGGGTCAAGTAGCATTTTTGGAGTGAATGTATTGGCTTCCTCGCCCTCTGCAGTCACAACAAGCTTATTGATATGCTTGATACATTGTGTGGGGATTAACTGAAAAGCCACCCCGGGAGTTTTATAAACTGTCAAGCATGTTCTTGATGACACCAACGTTTGAAGCACACGACCAAACATTAGGTGTTCTCTTCCTCTGCAAGATGTACTTGTAAATGGAAAGTTGTCACCTGCCTTACGGAAGCCTTCTGTGGGAATGAGAATTGCATCCAACACAGCTGATTTGATCTCAAAAGATGACCTCATTTTAAACGCTAGTTTGCTATTATTAATTCTGCCTTGGTCTACCCAAGGGAAGATTTCCAGTCATTACCTGGATGTTTCAGGTCCCAGTTCCTAACTGACTTCCTCATCACACTGATGATTTCATTAGGTCACTTATGAGGAAAATCGATTTACCTGCATCACTGTCTCCTTGTTCTCCTTCCCTTTCCATATCAAGATATAATCTTTTCCTTCCCAACTCAGGCTCTCTTGTGCTACTTCAGACTTCAGGAATGAAATGTAGAAAAGAAAGTCCTTGCTGCCTCTCTCTCTTCCAAGACTTTTTTTTTTTTTCTAAAGCTTTCCTTCCCCACCAAATAAGAATTAAAAGTGGTATTTCTTTTGACAGCTGGTAACTAATCCTACTTTAGCAGGAAGGAGAACAGGAAGCCAGCAAAAGAATTTTCCATTCC